GATTTGGACAATACAAAAATGTAATATATAAAAATATGCAAAATATCCAAAATACTACATTCAATATGTAAAATAATTTTCTGCTTAGGTTTCATTTTTTTAAAATTATTATTATAAATATATAGAATTGCATAAACGTCCGCAGTCTAAACATATTTATAAATATTTAATCCATATAAATATTTTATGATACATACATATGTATGAAATATTGGAGTACTTTGAAGTGTTACGATTAATCATGTATTCTATACAGTGTTCTAATTAATTTCATCAGTCCTTGTATATCAACCTTAATAGTGCATCCCCTTCTGTGCATTTTGCATACGCCTGTTTTTATGATTGGCTAGTTGCTAATTGCTCTGTTGACAAGTTGTTTGCAATGTTCCAAGCATTGGAGTAGTTTTTTGATAGAAATAATGCAGATACACTGAACAAACAATTCACACAAACTTCATTACAGTAATTATTTTATTTAATCCCTTGAGTGTTTAGCCTGCACTAGAATATTATACAAATATTCTTACAATGAATAATAAAATAATTGATTTACTTTATTAGAGGTTCAAAGAGGATAACATATTACAACATATTGAGTAGATACATCAGGATATATGTTTAAAGCTTAATTTGTTCAGTATTGAACTTTTAGACTTTTGTTTAATTTTAAGCACTCAAAGGCTTTTAATCCTGCTGTGATCCTCGAATTTTGTATATTTCTATCTCGCTGTTTTTTATTATATTGCAATTTTTGCTTTGAATTTTAGCCTGGAAAAGGATTTTTAATATTTTTAAAAAGTTTTTGATATAGGATTGAAAAAGGAAATCGTATTTCTCAATAATTATTCTGTCCTATTTTCTATTTTAACTCTTCGTGGTCCATTCAAAGTATCGACCAGCAATCAAATGATTTTGCATTGCATATTCATAAACATAAAAAGAGATAAAATTTCTTCAAGTCAATAGAAAGAGATAAAAAGCATTTTGGGATTCTCTCAATTTATCTGAATAATAATTTAAATCTATTTCATTGGTTTTTTTCTTTTATTACAGAGATTGATATGTATAAAATAATTTAACCATGATGCAGAGGAATGTCGAATATTTATTTGTTGCATTTAAATATATAATAGCGGCCATAAAATTTCAGGCACACTAAATTTTATGCATGGAGCTTCTCCTTTCACAACCTTGGATTTTTCACAAAAACATTTTTATATTATCTAGTAATTGGGAAAGTAAAGATATTGGTATCGTCGAAAATGCTATGAATTGAATGTTTAAAAATTGAGAAAGCTTAAAGATACATTCTCTATTTTTTACTTAGGTAATGCAAAAACTAATTAAAACAGCTCCACTTCAAGAATTTTTGAATTTAAAAACTGATAATTTGTATAAATTTGAAGTTTGCTGGTAAGAAAGGTCTATTGATTCGTGTAAAAATAATTAAAGCACATGATATTTCAAAGTAGTTACACAATCAAAATTATATTTGAATAAGATAGAATAAATAGAATAAATCATTGTTTTGTTTGTTGGAAATAGAATAAAATCAATGCTAGAAGTAGGATAAAATCAATGTTTTGTTAGTTGGTACAAAACCGTAATATATTCTATATATAAAAGAAATTTAAGAAATTTAAAAAAAAAAGGAACGATTCCATTGAAAATGACACAGAGGATGCAGCAGAATCAAATCTAACATCTCAATCCTTATTAAAGAACAGTAAAATCTCTGACTGTTTTAACCATCTTTCTTTTCTCTTCTTTAACCAAGGGTTAATTTTTATTAACTTTCATCCGTTCCTTGTATTAATTTGACACATTTTTCTTACAAAATGATACATCATTTTGCACCAGATACTGATACAGAGGTGAGACTCTGTGACATTTATTTTTCTGACACATAGCATATATTTCTAACATTTTCCACAACAAAAATAGTATTTGTTTTCATAATTCTCTGACAAACAATACATTGTCCTTGTTAAAACAAAATTCTTGTAGAAAACACTGTAGCAAACATCAAATTTCCAGTCATTATTATATTCTAATACACAAATAAAAATAAACGCAAATTTATTAAATTTGCAAATTCTTTTTCCTGAAAAATTTGATGTTTGGCATTTATGGTGTTTTCTACAAGAACTTTTTAATTGTGTATTCAATCCACCACCTTTTTGAATATATATCACACACACACACACACGTAGTTTTAACGAGTGAAAATCTAAAACGAATGATCATAACGTTAGACTAGAGAAGAGTAGAAGTAGAATTTGCGTGAATCTTATATTAAATATAAAAGTTTATAGTTAAATTTACATAGTTGTAATAACGAGGGACGGATGGGTGTTAAACTGCATGTAATTTCCCAATCGTTCATGTCCAATCATGGCGCATTCTTAAATCTCAATGTTTCCAAAGCTGAAAGCTCATTTACTATCGTTAGGCAACACGCGAACCGTGCGGCTCGTGCAATGTCCACTAGACTGATTAATCACGATCCACTTGTGTAATTAATGTTAGTTGCAAATCGCTGTGCCTTAGGTGAGAACTTGGGTTGCTTTGGCGGAAGTAAGAAGAAGAAGGATGGTCAGCCGGTGCAAAAGGAAACGACCGCGTCGCGCACCACCACCAGCCCCAGAACGGAACCTGTCAGAGGCATGGAGCTACTCTGGCAGCCGGAAGTGGTCCAGTCTTATTTGAAACTGCTGCAGACATGCTCGAACCCGGAGACTCTCGAGGCAGCTGCCGGAGCGCTTCAGAACCTTGCAGCCTGCTACTGGCAGCCGAGTATTGAGATTCGTGCCGCCGTTAGGAAGGAAAAAGGACTTCCCATTTTGGTTGAGCTGCTGCGGATGGAGGTACAGCCTTTCTTCCGGAGTTCGAATATATCTGGTAGAATTTCTGTGAGATAAGGATGTATAACAAAGTGATAGATGGTGGATATAAAAATATAAAAAAGTGATAGATGATGGATTGTAAGTGAGGAAGCAAGTAAGGGTAGAAATTTTAAGTAGAGTTGTGAGTAAACTCGAATGGAGGAATGTTTGAAATATTTGAATTATTTTATTTTACGTTTATGTTTTTGTATTAAATTTGTATTAAAATTATATTTTCTTTTATGATTAATAAGCAAAAGGCGAAGAGTAGAAGTTTTAAATAACGCTGTGATAGACTTTAATGAAAAGATGTAGAAAAACAGGGAGATAGAAGGCTAGTGATATATAAATTATTTTCATGGATATAATTAGTAGAGATACTTAAATTATTTTGATGAATATATTTGGTGAAATGTGTAAATAAGAAGTCATAGAATCGAGAATAAGTAAGAAAGCAAATAAAAGATAGAAATTTTAAATGAAGTTGTAATAAAAGGGATGTTTAAAATACTTAAATTACTTCAACATTAAATATTTATTTTTCTAAGTTTATGTGGTATTGAAGTTATACTTTTTAAGATTAACAAGCAAAAAGCAGAGGATAGATATTTTAAATGAAATAGATTTGAATCTGGGAAAATAGGGGGATAAAGAGGGATAAAAGGAGATAAATTATTTTAGTGAATATATTTAGTAGAAATATATTAAATTATTTTGATAAATATATTTGATGAAATTCTGGTGAAATAAAAATATAGTAAAGTGATAGATAATTGGTTGTAGGGAAGCAAATAGAGGGTAGAAATTTCAAATAAAGTTCTGGTAGACTTGAGTGAAAGAATATAAAAAAATAGACAACTAGGAGGATAAAAATATTTAATTTTTGCAAATAAAAGATGAAGGCTAAAATTTTTAATACTATTGAACGTAAAAAAAAACTAAAAAAGAAATCCAAATTATTTTAATACTAGAAACTTATATAAATTTCTATTGTATTGAAGTTATATTTTCTAAGAATAACACTAGAATAACAGTATTTTTCCTAAAATATATAAATACAATTTTTATTTGTGTATTACATTGAAATTATTTAATATATTGCTATTAATTATTATGTAATATTAAAGTTATTTATTATATTATAAACTTTTTCTAATATAATCACTAGTAGTTCTAGCATTAATATTATAATCTTTGTGCGAGTGATTAAATGTATTCTGTTGAATAACCGAACAATCTCAAAAATATATACTTTTAGTTTCATGAAAATTTGACAATAAGAGCTTTGAAGAAATATCCCTCTTATCATCTTTTTCAGGTGGACCGCGTCGTCTGCGCGGTGGCCACGGCTCTTAGAAACCTCGCCATAGATCAGCGTAACAAGGAACTGATTGGAAAGTACGCGATGCGCGATCTCATTCAAAAGTTACCTTCAGGGAATAACCAGCACGATCAAGGAACCAGTGATGACACAATCGCCGCTGTTCTTGCCACTTTGAACGAGGTGATCAAGAAAAACGCTGAATTCTCGCGATCTCTATTAGATGCTGGCGGTGTCGACAGACTGATGAACATCACCAGGCAACGTCAGAAATACACGCCTCGTGTTCTTAAATTTGCAGGCAAGAATCGATAAAATCCTCCTTCTAAACACTTACATAGTTTTATGTAAATACTTGTATCGTAAATCTCAAAAGCATCGGGAAAGATGGAATTTCTATCCTCTCTATCCTGAGAGACTGAACGTTGATTAATTTGCAGGACAAGTCTTGTTCACGATGTGGCAGCACCAAGAGCTGAGAGATGTTTACAAGAAGCACGGCTGGAAAGAACAAGATTTCGTTACAAAAACAGTAGCAGCGCGGAATTCAGGGCCTAATTCACCGAATAATGCCAATAGGTAACCGCTCGTTAATCGACAGCCAACAGCCTTACATTAAGTTGCCTATCATTTTCTAATTAATCGTTTCTTTCTCTTAACGCCAGTCAGTCCTTTTATTTACGTTGTTTCTGTTCCCGGACTCTGTGTTTAACTTTTTCGTATATGCTTTCCCTATTCAATTCTACTCCGTTGGATAATTTCTGTTAAGCAGAGTCCACAATTTGATAATTTCTCTGAATATTTCGATTCTACGTTGAATGTAGCTATGATTGTAGCACACTGAACCGACCGATGGCAAGCCAAGGGAGCACCAGATACGAGGACAGAACGATTCAGAGAGCGAACATGAATTCGAATAACGTCGGTCGACCCACTATATATCAGCCTGTAAGTAACAACAACTAATGGTACTGTGTGACAAACAGTTAGGCCCCATCGGCGTTTAACATCAAGCGTCGTCATCTTCACGATTAATCGAAAGTCTAATAGGGAAGAAACATGAACGGACGTTGGTCCTGCTCGGAGCAATTTTTTGCGACATTTTATTCCACTGTCACGTACGTTCGATTCGCAGTTACCACAGTGTTTAGTTCGCAAGTGATTGGAGCAAACGAGCTAAAAAAAAAAAAAAAAAAAAAAAAAAAAAA